AAGAAAGTGGTTCATGGAATTAGTTAGGCAAGAGTTGTATTTAGAAATTTGTGGAAGAGGAATCCCATCCGAATTTCGAATGAAGGTTGAAGAAGATATAGATTATATTCGGAAGTGATATAGATTATATTCGGAAGTTTCATTCCTTTTAAAAAATAATTATCATGAAGTTAACATTGCTAATAGCGTAATAGTGGTTAAATAACACGCATTTAAAAGAAGGCAAAATTTTTAGAATAAGGTAAAATCTTATTTAATAACCATCTTTAAGCAGCTGGCCAGTACGACTCCGTAGCCATGTAATTTTGAATCCAATCCAGAAGAGAACTCCTGAAACAAATATTTAGTGAAATTTGTCTTCGTGTAGGACTTTTTGAGGGAACTAACTCGTATTTGCGATATATAGAGAGGAAAACCACGAAACATCTCATGGTTAGCCAGACGACAAGGAGACTAACTCATGATCCGTCTACCACTGAGAATATTTTACTTCTGCACTATCTCCTGAGCCACCACTGCTCAGAATAAAGTAATATTATATTACGGGAACATGGAGGACTTTGTGACTCAACAGAATAAAGTAATAGTAACTATTAAACCATTGAAAATTATTTGTATCTATATAAATTATACTGAATTCTTCAGATGATTTGTACATCGAGAAAAAACAGCTGGTTGAACAGCAAAACATGTCTAAAAAAACTTAAATTATAAAATTGATCGCATAAATTTGCAAAAATATATTTTTTGAAACACCAAAAAACCAAAGGAATAATATAAAGCAGAACAAATGCTAAGTTTTCACCGCATTCAGTAGTAGTGATCGTAGTACTTTATTTACGTCACACTAGAGCTGAACAATGGGATGTTGGCGACGGTCCGGGAGACATCCCTGAGGATGATCCGAAGACATTCCATCACAATCTTGATTCCCTACAGAGGAGTCCGACTACCTGAGCACGAAATCGAGCATTTTACAGTACAATAGTTTAACAAGGGCTGATTAAGCACACCCTCTGTCTCTTCGCAGTTAGATCAAAGGGGTAACTCACCCGCTCACTGTCAGTTTCCAGCGATGCTTGACTTTGGTGATCTATTGGGAATCGTGTTTTACAGTCCATTGTGGGACTCACTGCCTTTAGATGCGTTATCATACACCGGAATCCGAATAAACCGAGTGCTAAGTTTCATGTTTACTGCCGAAAACGACTTATTTTTGCTCATTCGAAATTATGTATGCTGTACAAAAAAAAAAATTTGTCTACTTAGCAATTTTTTTGAGCGAGATAAATAATTAAAAAAAAATAATAATAAAGAGATATGTTGATTCTAAGGTACATTCAGAAATTAGTAAAGTATATTGAGAAAAATGCAATTTTTAACCAATCCATCAGTGGATATAACTGCCTGAAAATTTTCAAATATACTTACAACTCAAAAATGAATTAAATACATTTTATTGCGTAAATGAATAAAAAAATATTGCGATATAAAAGTTTCTTAATAAAACAGAAATTTTTGTTCAGAAAAATCCTCTTAGAGAAAAAGAATTTTTCCTTTTGTCAGAAAAGGACCCTTAAAGGGAAAAATCAAACTTAAAATCTTTATATTTTTGGGATCTAAAATAACGTAAGCATACTCATGTCATTAACGACAAAATAATAAATACGGTGGTTTATTTTCAAGACTCGATGGTCCATATTGAATATGGAGAGCCATTAGAATTTTACGTAAGCATTGTTTGGTAAATTTGAAAATTTGTCTGAAAAAATAAACAAACTTCAAACACCTTCCGATGCATACGTAAGAAAGTCGCTACATCTTTTCCCTTATGTTATTCCTTAAATTTTAAGAAATTTAGGGTTATATTCAAATAAAAAATTTAGCTTTTCATAAAACAAAATTTAGGTTTTAGAAGAATTTAAAAAATTTTGAAACTACTTCAAGGTTTTTTTCTTTTCTTGTCCCTAACTTTTACACCAAACATGAAATTTCTGCAAATTAAGTTAAATAAATTTTTTTGTTGCATGTAATAATGGGTTTAATTTTTTTTCTTTCTTTCTTTCTTTCTTTATTTTTCTTAATAATTTGATTTTAGAGTTTTACACATGTATTGCCCTCCTATTCTCTAATCACCACAAATAAGCCACTAACCACTCCCACCTCAAAAGTGCTTACTTAATCTTTTCATTGTGCATTCAACAAGAAATAAACCAGATTCCGTACATTTGAAAGAACAGAACATGCGTACAACTTTCCTTAAATAGTTATATAATATTTTTAGAATAATTGAATACGAAAACAAAATTATTGAAATTAATTTTTAATAAAATTAAAATTGAAAATAATTATTGAAAATAATTTGAAGTTACAAGCTATTTGATTAAGTTATTTTAAATGCTATTTAATACATGATTTTTACTTTTTATAAAGAGTTATTTTTACATGAACTGATGAAAACATTTCAAGGAAGTCTTAACATTTTCTTTTCCTTAATTAAAGCAGTTTTTTTTTGAAAATTAATTAAGCTTGTAATTTATAATTATTTATTTTCTTTGAAATAAATAATATTTGGCATAGATGTTCGAATCCAGCAAAAAGAACAAAAAGCTTATTTAAACTATTTTCGATTTCATCTAAGTACCTACTACAGTTAAATGCAATTTTTTCGACACCACAGCAATATTTGATCGTTTGCATTGTTGTATAGTCGCTTTTAACTCTTTTAACCAATAAAATGTATACAATCCAATATAAAATGTATACAATCCAATCCAGCCTAATCCACGTAAATAAGTTTTCAAATTTTTAAATTTTTTTTTTAAATAAATTTTTTTTTTAATTGCTGAGCATATTTGATAAATATATTTAATTTGCGATCTAATTTCTTAAAAAAAATTTAAACCAAAACATTTTGTTCGTTACTGATGCAATTTCATTTACAAACTTTCTTTTAAAATGTTCTAATTTTTTAAAACTTTCTTTTAAAATAATAAAAACGAATAAATGCAATTTCTTTAAAAATGCATTGCGATTTCCTTTTTTTAAGAAAAAAACATATGTTGCATTTTCTTTAAAAATGCGTTGCAATTTCTTTTAAATACGCGTTGCAATTTCTTTAAAATTGCGTTGTAATTTCTTTAAATTTACGTTGTAAATTTTTTTTATAAATATGTCGCACTTTCTTTAAAAATGCGTATTAATTTCTTTAAAAAATAAGCTGCAATTCCTTTAAAATCATACTAATTTCTTTAAAATCGCAGTATTTTTTTAAAAATTGTTTTGCAATTTCTTTTAATTGCGTTGCAATTTTTTTCAAAAGGCCCATTAAATTTTTATTTGAAATTAAAACTCATTAAAAAATGTTCGTCTAAAATAATATATAGAAATAGTATATAGAAATATACTAAAATAATATGTAAAAATATTCGTCTAAAATTATATATATCTATAGATAAGTTCTTAAGTTTGAAACTTCGGTTGAGAGTTCTAAGTAGTTATTTTACATTCATTATTTTAATTGCATGCGTTGCCTGAACACAGTTGTTCATAAAATCTATTAAAAAATTCAAATTTATTTAATTAAAGAAATTTAAAAAGTAAATATTACTTATTTACTACTTAAAAGAAAATCTTAACTCAATATCTTTATCAAAAAACGTTGAATACAAATTAATATTATGTAGTATTATAAAGGAACATCAATTTTTACTTTATAACTTTTAATTTCGAATACTAATCGAAATCAAAAACCAATAATAGCAAATAATAATAAACAATAAATAAATATTGCTGATAAATACCGTTTAATAAAAGTTAAATAAATAATTTGTAGTTAAATACTATTATAACTTTTATTCATCTTTATGCTGATGACAACCAAAGATATCAAGATCTTCTCTTTATTAATGATCAGGTCATGAGATTTTTCCGTCCAATCAGAATGCACGAAACAGTAAGACAACAATTATCTTACTATGATCTACAATAATACATGTATTGTGGTTACGTTATCACGTTTCTGCAGCGAGAAAGTAATTCACTAGGAAGATAATTTTCTTTTCAAATAAATTAGAAAAACAATAAATTATGAAATGTTGTTTAAAATTAATCCATTTATAAAACTATATAAATGTCTAAGTATACTTCTGTTTAAGAAAATACACATTCTTATTTATCATATTAACATATAATTCCTTATAAATTACTTTATGAAATATTCTTTTCTAAGAATGTATAAAACCATAATAATAATTATTACTTAGTGTCTCGAATTTCACTAAAAGACCCTTTTTATGCTTCACAACGTGATAGTGAAATATAAAAACGTTAATAACGTTATTAACGTTTGCGTTAATAGTAGTGATAATTGTTTCAAACAAGCTAATAAATACAATTTAGTGTTTAATATATACCATAAAATTAAAATAAATAATACCGTAGATATGAGGTACTTAGGACAGACTTTGATTAAAAGATCGGTGTTGTAGTGGCTGCACTGAACATATACTACGATTTTTAACACTGCAAAATTTAATTGTACAATATGTACAAAAGGAGTTTCGTACATATTGTAAAATTTTCATTTAAGAAATTTTCAAGTAGTATAATTATTTTAATTATCAATCAGTTTCTAATATACATAACTAACTGTTCCAACCTTTCACGGGTCAACACATTATTGGTGAAAAATAAAATTTTGATAACAAATATCAAATGCACCGTCAAACTGTCAAATGGACCGTATCAAATGCAAATACCAAACGACATTACTTTTGGGTCCCCTTAATATATCAATTTACGAAAATCTGTTCAAATTTTCAGCATCGTTCTAAATTGACACAAATTTATCTAATTGTCAATATTTACCTCATAAACAAAATGTTTATTCATTATAACTGTTATTTCTTCTTCAATTATTTGCATTTATTCAGTATTAATTGAATTCAGATATGCATAAATTTTTTGATGGACTAATAACATTATTAAGATTAACTCACCAGTGGGGTGGGTCGAATTTTCTAAATCGGAATCTGGACTACGATGACTATCTTTGGACGAAGTGACGTCATCGTGATCGTCATCATCCTCATCCAGATCATCCTCTTTGGAATGGTTAGTCCTCTCATCCATTCTGGATAACATGGAATCGGCTCTTTCAATTCCAGGAGATATCCTGGAATGTGAATTGTTCAAATCTTCTTTCTCCAGTGGAGATTGTTCGCGGCGAATAGAGTTGGAGATGTGGTGGGCATTCTCCAAACGATATAGAAGACTCGGACACACTTGCTGGCTGGAATACAGCATGTGCAATGGAACATGTGGCAAATGTGCCATTTGCTGGTACGCCCTAAAAGACGAGGGATGCTGAGGACCTTCCTCACCATCTATAATGTTCTGTATTAGAAATGATCGTTTGGGTGGAACATCTGTGCTCGTAACATCAACATCTTCCGCATCTTCTTCGTCATCGTCAGTATCGTCTTTTTTCTTCGTCCGCAAGTCCGTTGGTTGTTCAGCAGATTCTAACGGCTCATTTGGGATGGTGTTCCGCTCGGCCGACATGGTTATGGTCATGTCCGTTTTGTAACTTACATTAAAAACTCGTCAACAAACTGGATTAGTCCTGCGGATTAAATGACAAATGGAACACTTTTTTACTTCTCTTCAGATTATGGTGCAGTATTTTAATAATTTCACAATCCAATTTCAATAATGTCGCACTTGTGCACAATTGCCACTGTAATAGCAACGATATTTTCTTTGGCTGAGATTACACACAATCTTCAAGATTATAAAGAAATTATAAAAAAAAACGCAGTTTATAATCAAAAATTTGTTTTTCGAATTAAAATTAATAATTTGAGGAAAGTTAAGTTTTTTTTAAAAAAAATAATAAAGACTTTTTTTAAAGAAATAAAATGAAGCTACTTTTCCATAAGGTAGAGAAACACACTGATGCAAACGAAAAAATAAAAATCGCCACCTGCGCGCTCTTTGCTACAATCGCAAAAAATAAATCGACGATTGAGTTTGCGAATCACGTTACAAGCATCAAAAGAAAAATTAAAGCGTGCTCGAAAACATGCTTGGTCGCAGTTGTATACCGTGTTACGCCATACAACTACACTTTAGGGCAGTTTGTTACGATCTCCCCTCCCCACCCCCTGATTACGTCACGCTTAGGAGGACCAGTTACTGGACACTCGCCCGCCCTACGTCGACCAACCCCGTGACGAGATGTTTTCATTCAGAGGGAGTTGACCGTAAAGCAGCGCCATACAGCGGTGATGAGATGCAGCAAGTTATGGAAAGGGAAATTCTCTGTTGTATGAATGAATGGGTAGAAATTAATGGCGGAACCTCATTCTTTATTCAAAAACTTTGAGAATTTTTGTTTTTAGTTCTTTTGTGTTTTTCTGATTCATTTTTAAGCAATGCTGATGATACCGTATTGTATAAGATTCTCATAGAAAGTTAAGAAGTAAATGATAATTAATTAAATTGCTTTTATTGAAATAAGAAGAGAAATAAGCGGAATAAGAATTTCGTAGAATTTCTCTGCAACTGTAAATGTATGAAATTGAAATTTTTTTAGATTTTCAATTTTCTACATCTTTTTCTTTTCCGTTCTTTTTTTTTTATTATTATTTTTAATTGTTAATTTTCTTATCAAGAATAATTTTATTTTAAGAAATTAAAATTAATTGCTCAATGCTTATAAATAGATACAATTCGATTTCTTTTTCTTTGAGTGAAATAAAAAAAATTTGGGGAACCTGAGAAAAAATATGTTCAAAACTACCAGAATATAGTAAAAATTACCGTGTTTCTGGCTCTACCGGGACACTGAAAAGCTCGATAATTAGTATAGAAGAGCTTTGGTAATGATTTGGTTATATGTATTAACCCTAAAATACAGTGTTATAATATGCGAAAAGGTTTAATAAATGTGGCTAAATTTGGTAATTTTATGATGATTTCTTGGAGCATGGAATAAAATCTATTTATACGATTAAATTTATTTTTTAGTTTCGTATTTTTTACTAAATGTTGAGCAATAAGAACTATTCACTTATAAAACTAGAATTTCCGACAAACCGTTACTAAGTAAACATGTAAATGAGAAAATTACCAAAGGAATGAATTGTAAATATCATATATTTTGGTTTTATTACTNTTTTTTTTTTTTTTTTTTTTTTTTTTTTTTGTAACCATGCAGTACGTTAATTTTACCAGAGCTTTTTTCTCCGTTAATAAATAAAATAAGATCCAAAGTTATTAGTATTTAAAACCTTTTTTATTTTATTTTTCATTTTTCTTTCTTTTACTTTAAGTTTGAGTTGAATTAAAATCGGTTATCAATAGGTATGTTTAAGTGTTTTAATTTTTTATTGTATGTTAAATTGTTATTATTATTGGATATTATGTATTTAATTATTTAGTTTGAGGATTCTTGGTTTATCCAAATAAATTGTGAACTGCAGTCGAAGTATTTTAAAACAGAGAAGTTGAAATTTAAATATATTTTCTCAGATTTTGTTATTTTTGCTACATCTCTGCGAAATATTTTCTGTAAAATTTCAATGTAAAAAAATTCACTTAAAATTTTGAAATCTATTAGCATAAAGGCAAAGTCATGCTCAACTTATGTTCATTATTTTTTAATATTGAAGAATAAAGAAGACATTTTTAATTTTATCCTATAAAACATTCATATCATGTTAAAATAACGTAATTTTAAATCACTAAACTCGACTGTCTTAAATAAATAACAATAATTGTAGATTATTTTGTAATATTTAATTTAAGTAATAAAATTCTTAATTTTACTTAGCAAACATTTGTTTTATTTTAAACAANTATATATAATCATATTAAAAAAATAATAGTTAGGTAGTTAGATTTGGAAAAATATTCAGAACTCTACGTTGCAACTTAAATGAGACATCAAAAAACAAATTATCAATAAGCAGCACAAAGTCACCCTATTTTGCAATATACTACTCTTAACAGAAGGTTATTAATCATCCCGTGGCCGAATAAAGATCTGGTCGCTATCAACAACAAATAGGTTTTAAACCTGGCTCTTTATACTGTAAAACATTTATTTACATTTAGCTATTTATTATTATACAAGTAGTTTGAAGAATTTGAAAACAAGTTTAAGTTTGTAGAAAAATTTGTCATTTATCTACTACAGTTTACCAAAATTCGAAGCTCTTTAAGTTTTAAAGGTAAAAATTCATATCTTTTGACAATTTGTAGGATTTAATTTAAAATTTTTGAGATTTTTATTAGGAATCATGCTATAGAATTGATTGAAAAGATGTTAAATCACTGATTTATATAAGTAATATAATCGTTGTATTTCCGATTGTTTTGATTGAATGATTTATGTTAATCGATCATCTGTGTCTGAAAAATTGGTATTTAAATTGTATGCTGCCATTTATCAAATGTTTAAAAAAATTTATAAATTCATTGTATTTTAAGTCATACGTGTCAAAGCCTGAATGCAAATTACTAAGCAGGTGGACAATTATTATTAAATTGAAATGTCGCAAAAATTACAAAAACGAAAAATAATTTATAATAGTATTTATACAATGAGTGCAACTTGAATGAAAAATTGTCGCCAAATGTTCACAAAAGCAGATAATTGCAAATTTAATTGGCGACGCAATTTATAAATATTTCAGGATCCAACGTAATCATAATTAAATAATTAATAATACATAACCTGCTTAATATTAATTTATTTTAAACGTAGGTCAGAAAATAATTAATATGAGCTTTTGATGCATCTTAAGCTTCAATTCGAATTATTTGCTATGTCATTTCAAAGCAAATCGTAATTTTAAAACACTTTATACCATGAATTCTGGACTATTCACTTCTTGGAAACCATGAATGTCACCAAAATTCATCTAATTGATGTAACTGTTAAATTTTAGCAAGACGTGGTTTACAAAAGTGGGTAATTGTTAATTTTTAATTGATAGATAGCACTATTCATTCTTATTTCATGACAATTTTTTTGAAAATTACTCATAAATTGATTAATAGTAATTTCCGTTAAAATATAAGCATGAGCTTATGATGTTATTCTTAAAATCGTCCCTAAAGTAGATAGTTGGCATCAATGGTTAAAATAACTCAGTTCATCAATATCACAAAAACAATTATCCAACTGATGTCATCGCACAATTTCTGCTAAACGTCTAGTAAAGCGGATAATTGAAGATTAACATAATTAACATTGCATAGCTATAAACAACACAATTCATAATTATTTCAGGTTTAAACATAATTAATACTTGTAAATTACTCATAAATTGCTTAATATATTTTTTTTCTTNAAAAAGATAAGACAGAAAGACTAGAAAGATGAGAAAAAAGATTACAAGACGGAAAAATATTGCTCGCTAAAACCGGGTCTTGCTCGTTAAAAGCGACTTCTGTTCCATAGACTTAACATTGATCCAACCAAATATTCTCGTTTCCCTCGGGAAATCCGAGTTCTCGTTAAATCCGAGCTCGTTATAAACGAGTTCGACTGTATCAGCATTTTACTAGCGTCCATTTTAAGGAACTGTTTGTTCAAATAGTTTGAGATAACTCAATTCAAACCTTCCATGCCGTATGAAAAATTTTCAGGAAATCATCTATGTTATAAAAAACAATATATCCAACTGATATCAATGCAAAATTGCTGTTCATCCCCTCCGCAGAGGATCAAAATTGTGATGGCATGTCTTCGGATCCTCCTCCGGGATGTTTCCCAGACCGTCGCCAATAGCCCATTGTGCAGCTCTAGTGCGACGTAAATTAACAACAACAACAACAACAGCAAAATTGCTGTTAAACGTCTAGCAAAGTGAATAATTGCAAATCAACATAAATAACATTGCATAATTATAATTAACAACACGACGATAAATTATAACTAACAACACGATAATTCCAGGTCTAAACAAAATTAATATTTAGTAAAAAATTACTCATTAATTGTGTAATAACATTTTTGTCAAGAAATTATATCAGCATTTTACTAGCGTCCATTTTAAGGGACTTTTTGTTCAATTAGTTTGAGACAACTCAATTCAAACCTTCCATGACATATGAAAAATTTTCAGGAAATAATTTATGTTATAAAAAACAATATATTCAACTGATATCAATGCAAAATTGCTGTTAAACGTCCAGTAAAGTGAATAATTGCAAATCAACATAAATAACATCGCATAATTATAATTAACAACACGACGATAAATTATAATTAATAATTATAATTAACAACACGATTATTTCAGGTCTAAACAAAATTAATATAAAAAATTACTCATAAATTGTGTAATAACATTTTTGTCGAAAAGTTATATCTACATTTTATTAGTATTATACTGTTTATTCTAATGGTTTAAGATAAATCAATTCAAACCTACTATGCCATATCAAACATTTTTCAGAAATCATCTATATTACAAAAAAATATATCCAACTGTTGTCAGATGTTGTTGCTAAAAATCTACATAAATGGATAATTGTAACTTTGTAATTGGCGACACGGTTCATTAATATTTCATGAATCAACAAAATTGTTATTAAGTAATTACTTTGACAAAAGTTTCTTATGTAAAATTTAGCTCGCAAAATAATTAATATGAGCTCATTTTTGAAACCACCCCTAAAAAAATAGGGATCGTTGGTGCTAATGGATTCAAATAACCGAATTCCAATAATTTACTATGCCATTTCAAAGCAAATCGAAATTAGAAAACCATTAATTTCCAAAAAACAACACTATCTTCAAACGATCAATAACACAAAAATTATTTGTCCAACTGATGTCAGTGCAAAATTGCCACCAAGCGTCTGCGAAAAGCGGATAATTGCAAACTTGTAATTGGAGACACGATTCATTAATATTTCACGAGAATCAACTTTAGACGTACCAAAGTTAACTATCGATTATTCCTTTTGTTTCTAACCAAGTTAAGTAATCACCTCTGTGTTGTGTGTACGCATCAGCGTGACAATGGCTGTTGTAACTTTAATAGTTCGCATCAGTAAGTTAAGAGTTTCTATTAGTAGATGACGCATAAGCGTTAATAATAAATAACCTTCTTTGATGAACTGAAGGGGCCGATGTTTTGCCAATTAGCG